AATGTCATTCATAACTTGCTCCTTGTAAACCACTACAGTTTCAACGAACTACATTTAAATATCCCGTTTCGTTTGTCATACATTCACTTGCAAGATCCGGCAGGGAAACCTGACGATTTTTAAATTAATATCACGTAGGCGAATTTTGCATATTAACAAATTTTATAGTGTATTACGTGTAAGTAACCATTATACGATATACAGGGCAAAACTTACATACAGGGTGTCTTTTTTAATCGGATACGATGGAATATCTCAGAAGGAACTAAAGCTATCGAAAAAATGTCCTTGCAAAAATTGTTCGGTATGATGAGGGACGTAATGTGGTATAAATAGCTTTCTCTCGCGGATGAGTTAGAGAGATTTCGAAGTCAAGCTTATTTTTTTTTTTTCTTTTTTCTCCAAATGAAACGAGAAGAAAGCTACGAAATTTCTTCGACTGCGTTAAAAAAATTATTTCTTAGCATGCTTCATCACCTGTCGGAGGTGGTAAAAGCACAAAATTGCCAAATAATTTATTAACTTCGTATTTAAACGGTATTATCCGGGAAGAAAAACTTACAAACTCGTTTTCTATCTTAAAACTCGAAAAACTTAAAAAATCGTTTTTCTTTTTTTAAACGATATTCCTCTTATCGAATAAAATTCAACGGGTCAACTTAATAATACTGTGCTGCAATAATAACGTGTTGCGATAAATGGGTTACCCACTTTAAGAATGTACAGTAACCATTGAACTGAGGAGTAAAAACCGTTTGACGATGAAACATAGAACGAATCCATATTGTTGGAGATAGAGAATGATTTTCTGCATCGGTAACACAAGTGCACGCAACGAATACGGTTTGAGGGTCGATTGTTGTCAGGTGCAGCGTACTATAACTTTTTAGTCAATACATTACCTCATCTTCTGGAGGATGTGGCCCTCAATGAAAAATTGTAAATGTGGTTTTACGCAAGACGGAGGCTCCATCAGATTTTGTGCTTCTTATTCGAGGCAGTATATAAATCATACGTTTAAAAGATGGATAGGACGGGACGGACCAGTCTCGCATACCACCCACAGTCATCGGATTTGAATCCTTTTACTTTCTTTCACGGGGTTTTATGTTAAAAAACTTAATGTATTCTGCACTGGTAAATGGTGTTGGGCAACTGCAATAGAATAGAAAATGCCTGTGAATTCATTCGAGGAAATCAAAGCATTATCGAAAGAGTACGCAGTTCTTTTAGTATGAACATGTCAAGCAAGTGGTGGAAGTGGAAGGAAGACGCATAAAAACAACTTTTGTAAATAGTGGAAGAGTAGATTACGGTTAAGATAAAATTGTCTCTTCGAACCGTTTTCGTAAAGAGAAGGAAGCACGGTGTTACTAAAACAGAAAATCGCCTCTATCTCCGACAATATGGATTTCTCACTCTACGGTGTTTGCAAGCATTTTTAATACAGTTTTAAACGAGTACCATGATGGCTCTCCCAAAGTTCTCCCGGCATACCACGAATTTCGGAAATATTTGCATTGACAAACTTAAAGCAGGACACCCTGTATATTTGTTCGATCTAACGAGACGAACAGGGGGAAGTCCCCAAGCGCGAATCTCGGATTTTTATGAAACTTATGTGTGAAATATTTCTCGAGAAAATGTTCGACGCGAAAATGTTCTTTTCATATGCCGACATTCGTGTTAAAGGGATGAAAATAATCCACCAATACGAGGTGAAACATATTACCTTTCAATATCTTTCGGACGATGTCCAACTATGTACCAACTATGAAATTGAGACGTTAAAAAGAAAAATTAAAAAAATGTTTCTTCGAGAAATATCTTATGCACAAGTTTCAATCAAAATCACAGACATACACTTGACGACACTTTCTTGTAATAATAACATATTTCTTACTTAGAAGTTGAAATAACTGAAAGTAACGAAACTTTTCAATATTTTTTTTCTCCTTTTTCAATGCAGTAATTCGCTCTTAATTTTACCGCTGTTACAATTGCAATGTTCGATATTATTCGCAGACTTACTATCCTACTTCATGTCTTTAAAAATGTGTGGAGTTTTGTACGAATATTAACCCTAGGACTCCTGAGCCATATCACACGGAAGCGAGGGAGGAGGGTTTGCTCGAATCCATATAATATTTTCAAAATGTTCTTTACCACTCTATGTCACTCACTCAATACAGACGTATTTTGTTAAGCACCTTTTTCTATTACGTTGTATATTACAACGCTAAGATAAGTATATCGTTAAAGTGAACACCCTGTATAGCAGCAAAAGCTGATTAACACATTCATCGTGACGGCGGTCGCCAGTGACCGACTTACGACGAATGTGTTGATAAGTGTAAAACGGAAGTATTTACATGTTGAAGGATTGCGAATACTTTTAGTAGATAAAGGAAATGTGTAACGGACAAAGAGCAGTGGTAAACAAACGAACAGTTTCACTTTTGAACATTTTTTCAACTCGGTTAGGTGAATGTATGACGATGAATGTTAATAAAGCATGACAGGCAATTCAAGTCGCGTGAATAGAATGCAAACTGAGATACGCTCGACATGTGAATGTGTTGAGCTCTAATAATTGGTAGACAGGGGTTAGGTCTCGAGGCAAAACGCTGACTTCAACAAGGTTTTGCATACTGATAAAGCTTGAAACACTTGTAGGTAACTTTTATTATACTTTTAGGCGTAAACGGTTGATAGTTTTTAGGATATTCAATGCTCAAGTTTTATCGAATCTGTTTCTTTTGTTAATTTAAACGCTTACGCTTATATGTAAGCGGATACGGAGATCCAAAATTTAAATTCAGACGAAGGGATAAATATGATTTAAAAAAAAAAAAAAAAAAAAACAAAACCAAAAGGAACGTTAAAACTGAACTTATGAATTTGAAGTTGTAAGCAAAAAAAAAAAAATGCAGCCTTCCAATTGCCAAGCGACCAATGTGATCAGTTCCCACGAGAATTAACGTGTTTCGTCTTTTATTTAAGACTGCGACGTGTCAGAAACGCATAATTTCATATGGTACACTTGAATAAATATCCGCAGTCTGAAAATGATAATAAAGTATGATGCGTGGTGTGCAATTTTATGATGAAAAAGGTGTAAATATTTAATGCTACCGTGGCATAATCGTCGATTTCCAGAACAAAAATGTAGTATGAAATGTACAGAGTGGGATAGAAACATTGAAACATTTCAGGTGAACAAAGTTTTTGCCCACCCTGCATAAGAATCAGAATAGTAGCTCAAGTGTCTCGATTCTAATGTGGAAAGTACATACCTCATCTGCAGAAGCTAATATTATTGTTATTATTGTTAATGCAGATCTCGAAAATATATTCAACACGTATTTGTTCATTTTATCGGCAATGGTCTATGTTGATGGGATGAAAACAGACCTCAAAGTTGGAAGTGAAAAATATATCTTTTGAAATTGAAGAAGGAATTGAAATACCCAAAAAATTCTTGAAAATCTTAATTTTTTTTAAACTAATAATCTCTTTTGGCAAATACGTTGTATCCAAATTCATTGTATCCAAATATATCTCTAACACAAACACTTTGGACTCTACATCCTTCGACAAGGCACCCTCCCTAATTCCTCGTTGCTATTGCTCCTGTTGATAGGTACGGACATTCCCTTCCCACAAAAGTTCGTTTAATTTTTCCAAATTTCTTCCTACAATTTTACGACTAATCGTAATAAATGCGAGTGATCATGCCTATTAAGTACCAACGTGCCACATATGGTGTACTTTAAAATAGAGGCGTTACTCGAGCGAAACTCAGGTAACATTTTACGGAGGACTAAACGGGGAGCTGTTTGTGACCAGCACTGGCGTAAAGTTTTTGAAGGACAAGAGATATAAACTTTCAGCAAATATTTAACGTGAAATATTTGGAAAACAATTCACCGTCCATGCTTAAACCCATGTACCAGGTGTATCAGCATTTCAAGTTCTATCACAATGCAAAACATTGTTAACAAGTCAACGTTACATCTAGGGATCCTCTCTTTTATCAGGCAGCGCAGAGTTATACGATTACGCTACTACAAATGATATACAAAATTGAATTACCTGTATTTCCATTTGGTTAACCAAACAATTAAAGCAGACACTATTACAATCACAGATCCTAGTGCATCCGAGAGTACATGAAGGAATACACCGCGCATATTCATTTGACTTGCATCGTGTGAATGACCATGTGTCCTTTTTACTTGAGGTGTCGACGGCCTATAAGTTTCATCATTTTCATTGTCATCTGTTCCCACTAACGTACTCAAACGGTTATGACTTCGGGATATGCCGTGCGAATGTGCGTGAGAACTTCTGTGTTCTGGAATAAAAATGATGAAATTTCAATGAAATAAAGAGAGATACTAATACACGGATACTACATACTAACAATCCTTTCGCTGTCTCTTCTTATTACATATACAATGTGCAAGCAGTATAAAAGAAACAAACAATAAAGATAAACATGTGATATACATTGTAAAAGAAGAATTAGTTTTATCGTGAGAAGATAAAATACGTAGTTCATGTGACTGGTGTAAATAACGTTATCGTACATAAAATGTAACAGTTATTACCAATTAAAATTATAACAAATAAAATAGAAAACCAAGTACAAGTATTATTTAAAAAAAGCAGTCTTGTTAAACGAAACGATTTGTGTAAATAATGTAAAGATTTGCATAATTCCATTAAAAAAAAGAAAAAAAAATAGTACCCAGACACAAATTCATATTCATCGAACTCACAGACGGACTCTCGATCGAGAAACCAGTGTGTATATGTGTACGCTTTATATTTCTAACTGTAAAGTGTATTTAGCTGTAATTGTTAGCTGCAATTCCTTTCTCAATTTTTTTAAATTTGCAAAATATACAAATTCTGATTTGTATTTTATATTTAGGTTTGAAGTTCATATATACACATTTACACGGAAATAGATAAACAGTTTACAAAAAAAGTGCTATTTTTTAAAATACAAAATCCCATCATTTATTCCATTTTATCTGTAATACTTTCCAAGCTGTTGAACAAAATAGATTTACCACTCTCAACTTCGAAAGTGATTTTCACTACTTCAATAGACGATCGCCGATAAAATAATACACAAGTCAAATATTTTTTTTTTTTTTTAACTAACTTACTGCAAAGTTTCATCGAAGTATGCGATCTTCACATCGGAAATGTTCCCTTGCGAGATTAAAAATCTTACGTTATCTTCGAAATGAAATATAATCGTAACATCGGCAATTTACATTCTTTCATGCTTTCCATAAAGTAATTTCCAAGGATTAGTCCAGGAATGTATTATTTTTAATACTCACCGTGAAACAGACACAATCCAATAATGTTCACTAGCAAGCCAAGTGCTCCAACCACCACAAGCAATTTAGCTTCGTGTATTTCTTCTACTTCAATAAATCTTTTACATGCTTCCACGGTAATACTGAAACATAATGCGACTAAAAAAACGGCATTTACTAAAGCTCCCAAAACTTCGGCCCTGGCCCAGCCAAATGTGTTTTTAGACCATTTCTTTGGTGACATCTGCAAATAATAGAATAATATTCTCAATATAGCCGTAGAAGTGGGTTGGAAAGGAAATTTTGATTTGCTAATATCGTTTATCTCGTCGCGGTCGCACATCCAGTTTTCATATATGTCGAATCAATATTGATAAATGTTTGTCGTATAATAGTTTACAATGACTTAGTCACTATTTCTTGGAAATTAGAATTTTTAAATTATTCATTTGGAAATAATAATTCATTGTAAATTTTACGATAAGTGAATGCAACAATAATTGGACACTGGAATAATTTATAGTGCAAGAAAACATCTCAAAAGATATCAATGCGGAAGTACAGTCAGAGGAAGAAACAGATATTGCACCAGATTCTGATCGTTGTCAGCTGTCCTCAAAATCAGTGAAGCATAATTTGAGTTACGTTCATGATTTTTGTGGACTTTCCCATGGATACTCGCGATTGAAACAATCACGAGGTGTACATGGACTTTTTTATGGAAAATGATGGTGCATGTGCTTGTGTAATATGCACCAGATTCTGATCGTTGTCAGCTGTCCTCAAAATCAGTGAAGCATAATTTGAGTTACGTTATGACAATACTGCTGTCATTATGACTGCTTATTTGAGTGTGCGTCTTGACAAGGTATCCTCGCCGATTTTGACGAAACTTACACATGATGTAGTTCTCGAAAAAATATTTGACACGTATTTTTTTTTATCAGCCATCATTCATGTTGAAGGGGTTAGAACAGCTCGAAAAGTTGGAGTTTCAAATCCTATTTGGTCCAGTATCTCGGGAACTATTATAGAGGAGTGATTTAAATGTAAATTGTGTGATTCTCAAGGATAAATTCGCCTATGTAATTATCACTTGCTACGTCAGAGATCGCTCCGCGTGAGTATTATACCTGTGGTATTGGTACCATTTATTTCCATTTTGGTTCTCTGTGCTTTGGAGGATTAGTTACCCGTGCCTAACGTAATGTAATTATTTGGAAAGTTATAAACGTTTATAATCTTCACGACCATAAATAATCGAACGCTGAATTTTGCACTAAATGTAATAAGTATATGCATCATGCATCATGGTAAACCTTTTTTCTTTTCAATGTTCCCGAAATCCCTCCATCATTTTGAAACGGTTATTTTACAGTCTAAAATTCAAGGAATCCAATGACATTTTTTTCAAATTGATCTACATAAGGAAGCAGCGCGAAATTAACGTTTAAAATGTTAGCATCTACTACTGCTATATTTGATAACAAATTAAATTTTTTATACACGGTATTTCTTTAGCTTTAAAATGAGTTATATTTCAATAAAATAAAAGAAATACATTTAAAGACTTTCTAAACAATGAATCTGTAACTATTGAATGATTGCACGAATGAAGCTAATAGCACGTGGATAATGTACATTCCATTAATGGAAAATAAAATATAACATATACTTACCTGGTACATTTAAAATTTTTCCAATTTCCCTCCAGGTAGCTCCACTTTTACAACGTAATAGCGTTTACAATATGATTATAATTTACGGTGAACGGAAACGAAGTATCATGCAGTCAATTCGTTTGTACAAAAGCAAATTCCCCGATCGTAATTGTCCATCGCGATTTGCATACTCCGTTAATATGATAAAAAAATTTCGAAAAACAGGCAACGTTAATTCTAAAACGCCTGTAAGACAGGCAACCTGTGGTACACGTATTAAACGAAAGCCGTGCCCATTAGGAATTATATCCCAACGTTTCGCCATCATTGCAGCTAGCTTTCTCAGAGGGTCAGATGACACACTGATACTGTCGCGTGTATGGTTATTTGATTATTTAGAGAATGTATATATATTGATCGTGCTCACGTCACGGATCGTTGGTCATCAATGACAAGTTCTTTCAATTGTTCAGCTGACCAATTACTGCTAGTGACCAAGTTACCGTTCCCTTCGTATTTTTATTCTAACTTTTTAACGTACCTACGTTTATGTGATATTTCTTTTTCTTATTTATACCCATAGGATACAGCGACGAAATTTGGCCGAAAAAAAACAACTGGAGCACCCAGCATACGCCATGAAGTGCCGTGATTCTATCTTATAAGTATGTTACGTCCAGTACTCATTGAAACACCCGGTACATAGTTCTAAACCGAGAAACCGTTTTGCCAATGAAATCAGGTAGGAAGGGGCTATTTTAACAAATGGTGAACATAATTTGACAATGATATACAGGATGTCCAGTATAAACCAAACACCTAAATATCTACTTTGTTTTTAATGATATGAGAAATGTTTAAAACTCCATTTGACTGATTTTGAAGGAAGAGTACCGCAGAAGGAACATTTTTTTACTACCATTTTTTTTGTTCTTTTTTTTTAGAATTTTTCAGTCATTCGTATTTTTTGCAGAATATCGTATATTTTTTATTATATCTCATAGGGGGTGTTGAAATGCATTCAAGCTTGTCTGAGTTGATAACCTCGAAGTGAAAAATTGATCAAATTTAAAGACTGTGTTAGGATGATACGTGAACTTAGTGTTAATGTTACAAAATTCGTTAATTTACACCATTCTTCTGTCGCTAATAATTTTTCGAGATATTAGACCACATATGTTTACTACCATTAACTTTGAGTGTGATTTTCACCCCTTCAATGTAAACGAGTGCCGATGAAAATGATACATATAGGAAAATTTCATGAAAATCGGTGATTATGAAAATCGTCATATTTAAATTACTTCGTATTCATCTGGTGGCTACTTACCTTGACGGAAAGAAATGCAACTACCAAAGCTGCTACATCGGACAACATATGAAAACTGTCAGCTATTAATGCCATACAGTTGGTTACATAACCCACTACTATTTCTACTAAGAAAAATAGAGCAGTGAGCCATAACATCGTCAACAGACGACATTTTTTCCCTGTGTAACGAGCCATAGTGATGTTTGTACCTAAAAATGACATTTAAATTTTATATAAAAACAAGTAATCAAAGCACTGTACGGACAATTATCATTCATCTTGCTTCTCATTCAAAACGATAATTATACTTCAGAGAACATGTAATAAGCATACAGATGTGTACTTATACAAATTATTGGACTTAAAACAATATTTCGACAATTTTGCTAAACTACTGTAGAAGTTTTATTTTATTACGTCAAAGATTAGTATTAATCGCAGAAAAATGTGTTTTTTTCTTCTTCAACTATAGTGTGTTCTTTTAGTTATAATAATGTATTATGTATAATTTAGTTATAATAATGTATTATGTTAATGTATTATAATGTATAAATATTTTTAGGTGATGTTCGATATATCGTAACATGTCTTTAAGTTTCTTAGGCATCGATTTTCTATTTGTTTCAATCTAAGAAACTTTTCTGACAATCAATGCTATTTTTCTGTACGAAATTGAGGTTATGGGGAGGGCAACGAATTCATGATCCAGAAAGACAGCTGTAATTGAATACCTTCTTATCTTATTCACATGGAGAAATTGCAGAAAAAGTGAACGTTTCGCAAAAATCTGTTGGTGGAATTAATCTTTCACCGAACACCATAGAGGCCTGTATTTCGAAGCGGGAAAGAAACTGTGGCCGAGAACCTAAGTTAACACCTCAAACGAAAAGAACTTCAATCAAATAGCTAAAAGATGACACTAGAGCTGTATGTATGAGTAAACAGCTTAGTGACTAATGAAAAGGATGTGGTGTTGATGTATCGGCTTTAAACATCCGTAGACGATGTTACGCATCAGATTTATATGTACGTAAGCGACACAGTAAAGGCAAACGTCTGTAACGACGATTAATAAGACTTGTATGGACAAAATAAATATGTTGCAGAACAATTTGAGAAAGACTGGAATAAAATACGATACACGATAGGTTAACATACATGTATACAGTACTTTACTATCACAGACGAAGTGATCGCAGTTTAAGTAATAATTATCAGATTGATAGTTTTCAAGGTATGCTTTTCTAATAAATCAATATTTTGTATTCGATGTCTAACGATTATTGAATTCCACGTTTTGCCAAAATTGCTGTTAACTTCAACAGAGTATCGTGACACACTGATAATGTCGCGTGTCGTTTTAGATTTGGGTTCATAAGTGTACCGTGCTCATGTCACGGATCATTGGCTACCAATCGGGTGTTTTTGATTGGTCAGCTGAACAATTAAAAAACCAGAAGGAGCGTGTTCCAAATAGGATTAAATTATTATCCGGTATATTCGTAATCTTCGCGATAACTGTACATTTTTCAAATTCTGCTTTGTGTATCGTAATTTCTTTAAGTCTGCTCAGTTGTATTACAACGCAATAAACAGTGGAATAGATACACTAGATAAATTGTGTACAAGAGTGCAAGGCCTTCGAGTCACCGATTTAGTTGAAACTTTACATACTGGTAGATTTGGTAAATTTGGTCACCCTATTTATGAAAATACAGAATTACAGGGGCACAGATACTCAACAGTTTTCCAGATATTTAGAATAAAAATTTCGTCATTACAGTAAACTTAGTTTTAGTTCAGAAATTTCACATGTAACATTTCAGACCAAAGCCGCTCAAACAGATGTTTTACGGGCAAAAGCACCCGCCGTTGCCCGCAAGCACTGCTACGGGCAAAGCGGAGAGCCAGTGACGTCACAGTCGCGAATGGAGCGGGGAGCAAAGGTAGTGGTGGGGGTATAAACTCGTAGGTAGGCATGTTTGGTACGTTCGTTCCGAGGTTGCTTTTTCACCACGTACAATCACTACACATTCACACAGTGCCCCACTACAGGATCGTTACTCGAGTAGGCGTGGCTTACTGCTCGAACAGCGTTCCGTGTTAAAGTTTGTCTGATCATATCGCATAGAGCTACTTAGAGATCGACTCTGGTCTAAACCATTTAATACACCGCAACTTCTCCCCTCAAACGAGAGAAAGCTATCGAATGTCCAAAGATTAAAATATTCGAATGTCCAAAGATTAAATTCATTCTTATTTTAATACCACTGTAAGCTTTCTCAATGCTAGAATTCGTAAATAATAAGCTTTGCGTAATATCGACTTCATTTAGTGTTAGTCTCTAAAATTAACAATAATCGACGTGAGTTGGCACATACCGTACAATATTACATCAACGCCAACCCGACTTTCATCACGAGGAAGCGTGGAAAGTTGCGTTAACACTTCGTCTTATATGTTACGAAGGTACAACTGTTTCGTCTGTCTTTTTTAGGCAATAGGGTATTTTTTTTTTTTTGGTAATTAATTGTTCTAATAATTCTGTGGCCTTTGCAAAGTGTATGTAATAAATATTTTGCAACTTCAATGAACACTTTCAGATTTATTTGAAACTTTACCAACGTATTCATGGTAGTCTAATGACAGCCCTAATGATATTTCAAAATTTTCCGTGCAGCACACATAGTACATTCGTAAAAGTTTCCTACGATTAGTGTTCAAATACTTGTATGAATCAGCAGAGAATTTCTGCTATCATTTCAAGATATATGCAGACAAAGATAAAATCAATACTAATGATAGCACTTCCAAAAATGTTGTGACAGTATTATCACAGTAGATATTGAATAAAGAACACTTTAAACTTCGATAATTGGTACTAATCGCCAGAACGTCTTTTTAACTACAGTTGAAAATAAAACAAATATTGTTGGGAGTGTGCGATTCAATAGAAAGAATATGCCGAATGATTTTCTTCGAACGAAACTAAAAAAGCAGAAACGACTGGGCAAAGAGAAACTCAATTCAGTTCTATTTTCTTTTTTTTATGAAATCAAAATCTATTATTAAGTACAATAATGCCCGGTCACTAGGGGTTGAAACGCGTGAGTGATATTTTCTCGCGGAGTATGCCACGCACAGTTAGATACGAATTAAATTATAAGGCAAGGGGTTAATTGTCTTTCCTACGTTTATAATATTAATATAGAAAAGCCACTGCGTGCATTTATTTCCAAACCTATTACATTATGTTATGTTTCGTATAAATATAATGTTATCGATGGAGCGCATAATTTTGTAAATAGTACTGTACAAATCGCGATAACTGTTGAAAAAATCAATTTATAATCTATAAATACTATATTCCGTATATATGTCCTACTTTTGTATCAAAAATATTGTTCTAAATCCTCACTACCGAAGTATTAATATATTATTTTACGAAAATTGCATGATTTAAATGTAGTATCATGGACGAATTTCGTGTTTTTAATTGACCAAATTTATTAAATTACAAAATTAATATCTATTTACACTATAACTAATATCATAAATGTGTGCTTACATACAAGCTATCCTACAAAGAAATCGATACATATTCACAATATTCTTAGCAGATCATTCCAAGCGAAAAAGATCATATACATTGTAAGTCCACTTCTGTATGTTAGAAAGTTATAATAGAAATAGAATAATGCAAGCATATTTCTGCGAAGAATGTTTTTCTAATTTTTCCTTAATGCTGTATTTAACTTTTCGATTCTTAGTTACATTCTGCAAATACTGTTCAAACTCATGGCCTTTATATTTGTTAACACAGTAATTACTATTAAGATAAGACATTATTCAATTCGACTGTCAAGTCGTGGCGTACTTCAACTTAACATAGAGATACCATATAAACATACCACGGTCTATTTCTATGCTTCAACAAATCTCCGAATTTTTTTGTGCGCGATACCTCGCATATATTTTTTAATTACGGAATATACAGATTTGTACAGGTTTCACAGCGGAAAAAATAGGTCTGTAGTGCTCCAATACTAGCAACAATTCCTTAATCGACGAGTTCCCCTGTATTCTACGTTTATTATTCTAATAATTACAATTATTAATATTATAATAATAATTATCATTATTTTATTAATGTCATTTAATGAAATGATTCTTAATCCAGCATACGTTTATTTCAATATATTTCGATTCTTTCCCGAAGTTTCTCTGGAGAAAAGTATTCTTCGCCATAATTTTTTAACTATACAGAATAAAAAAAGAAAACTATTCCAAGTAAAT